AGTAAAGATGGTTTCTTTCTATACAATACACACACCACACGACATCTATTTCAAAAGACTAAACACCAAACACACATAATACTTTTTAAGTTTGATCACGACCACACCCCAAAACAAAACAAAACAAACGTCTCTCTAAGAAATAGCTCATCGGATATTTCCGCAAACAAACCGAACAAAAAAAGAGGTTAGAAACACAATGATTACAGATAAAAAAAGTTGATTGATACCGAATTAGACAACACGAAACACACAAAAAATGGGTGCTCTTCTTTTGGTCTGTGAATCCTAAGGATTGTAAAATGATAACCAAAAGAGAACTCACAAATGGAGAGACTGTTTTTTTTACTTTAATCGATCCATCGTGTGATACCATCGTCTCCTACCATCGCCAGTATCTCCACACGCACCTCCAATATTGCCTGCAACATATTGATTTCACATTTATACACACACCACAATGGACATTGTAACAAATTATTCTTGTTTTGCAAGAATTAGAGAGGACATTTCTGTGGCGAAAGAGACTTACAGAGGAGTTCCTGCAGTTGACAAGCCGACATTCGTCCAAAGAACCTTCTAGACTCCAACTCTCCCACACGTCAAAACTGTGGCTAGCAAACACAAACTCCATTCTTCTATTGATCTGCATAAGCTCACACACACACAAAAAAACCACTTTTAGTTTCCTCAAGAGCACGTAAACTTTCGGGCTATCAATGGGAGTAACTGTTTAATGTAAAGAAATACCTGCAGTAACTTCCCACCGGCAGCAAATGATCTCAGACCAACAGTGTCCTGAGGAACAAGAGTCGTACACCAGACAAATTAGCCATTCAGAAGAATATAAGTAGCATTTTGATAACGGGCTTCTGCTCAATCCTACTGCGGAACAATAACGGATCTATTCTGTTCATCCAAATTCTCCACTTTTTACCCTTACTCAGGCATGGAAAGCAAAGCAAGGTAAATGAGAAGAAGAGAGAGAAAGGATAGTTTACCTTGTTTCTGTATGCAATAATGAATTGTGCAGCAGGATCCCGTTTGGATACATTGGACAAAGTATCCAGGAACCAACCACCGTTTTTAGTTCTTTGCCTGGAAACATGGAGTCCAGAGAGGTCTTTTGCGTACAAGGCTACTACATATCCATCTTTCAGCAGTTCACTCGACTTTCCAATGAACTTCTTACTTGACATTACAAGCTGATTTGGGGAAGACTCTTGCATTACTTCAAGAGGTGTTTTTCTGCTTCTTGAATCTTCGGGAGAAGCACATCTAGAACTGGAACTCAATACTTCTTCCGTGTCACTCATTGCAGTATCATCTCTTCGTGATGTACTTTCTTCGTGTAAACCTGAGGAACCCTCAGCTTTTTGCATGTATTTTTGCTGTGAATGCCTCTTTTTGGCTTTCTTACCAGATCTGCTGCGTCTTACTTCAGGTTTTATGGCAGTATTCTGAGGCAGAACAGAAACCTGTTGCTGCTGACCAGGGCTAAGAGATTCCTTGGAGTCAATAGCCTCTCTACGAACGATTTCAGTATTAGTGAGAGTACTTTCTCCCTGTTGCCTACTGGTGGATTCCACTAGCGCTAACTTCTCGTGTCTGATAGGTGATTGTTCCTCTTCTTCACTTGCTTCACTTTCCTCAACTTCTTCATCGGAAACAGTGTTATTTGGTATCACACCATCTAAGAAAAATGAATGCAAGATAGATATGGCTTTCTCCCTTATCTCCATCCAAACTTCTTCACTGTAATCTGCACTGCGAGGTAGGATTAACACATTCGGCATTTCCTTCACCTGAAATTATAACAAGATACAAAAGAATGCAGGATAAACAACAGAAATAGAGAATGAGCAGGCACAAATGTAAAGTTCATCAGGTAATAGAAAAGAATTTCATACCCATGCTTCCATCCATTGTGGACCTTCAGCACCGTCAAGCGCGCAGCCAGCTATAGTGCCATCAATTAGAAGTTGTTTCACAGCACAATCATCCAGCAGCTGGCAGCTTCCGGTATTTACAAGAAAAGCCCCTAACGTATAAAATCAACTTATCAATAAGAACTCAAGGGAATGAGAGAAAGCAGAAGTTCATCTTCAATTTACATAAATGGAGAATCAAAATTTCATTTGACTGACCAGACTTGAATAATCATACCAGGTTTTATATGCTGCAAACACTCTGCATTGAGTATCTGAACAGTGTCATTTGTTAATGCACAATGAAGTGAAATCACATCACTTGCTGCTAGTAAATCATTCAATGTATCCATTCTTCGAGCAGCACGTGGAAATCTCGAAGGCCTGATTCGTTCTTCATCTCCCTGGAAAGATGCAAAAGCAACTATTAACAACAAACAAAACATCATAGTATGCAGTTTAGGCATGTAGGAGCTAAGCACCTCTAAATCGTTCGACGACTATATTCCTCGTAAAGACACAAACACCATCCTAATTAACCAATGATCCATTAAGCTATTCTGAAGCCAGAACTCAACAACATACATACCTCAGGGACATCAAAGTAGAGCACACTCATCTTGAAAGCCAAACTCCTACTAGCCAAATACCGAGCGGATACAGATCTGCCAATGATACCCAAAACCATACCACGACACCGTCTCATTCCCCGGCAAAGCGGCTGAAGCGATCCGAGCCAACCGGAAGCAGAAAGCGCGTGGCGCGAGAGCAAATGCGTCCGCCTGAGAAGTCCAAGGATGAGCGCCATGACAGTATCCGCGATTTCCTCGGCTCTGGAAGTATCGACATGGACGAGTCTGAGACCTAGGTCGGAGGCGAGAGTCGAATCGACAGCTCGATCAGCAGAACCAAGGCATAAAATGAGCTGATGAGGACGGAGTCGTCGTTGAGCTGCACGGGGAAGATAGGCGAGGGAATGGAGGAGAACGGCGGTTGCTGACTCGATCTTACCTTCGGCGATGCGACTGAGCGGGACGTATTCAACACCAGCAACGCCGGCGAGTGAGTCCTGCTCAAGCGCACAATCCTCGATACAGTTGAGTGTGACTACGAGAGGCGACGCCGGTGACTGCTGGTTACGATGGGGCATTGTCGCAGACGAACGGATCTTGCTCATCTTCTTCTTCTCGCTACTCTCGAGGAGTAGACAAATTTTGGGAACATATTGATTTAGGGTTGAATGTTGTAAACTCGGAACAATTCAGGGGCTAAATTGCATTTATAATAGTTTAAGGGCGAAAATGCATTTTTTTAAAAAGTACCAGGAAACGCATCTTGGTCTCCGTAATACGACAACGTTTCGGCGTTTTAATCTAGACACACGGAAAGACTCTTCTACGACGTCGTTTTTCAATGCCAAAACGTAAACAAACACTACTATAGTGAAACATGTACACTTTTATTCCACAGTATATATACTGAC